GTCCTCCGACCAGCTGCACCAGCTGGCCCATTTGCTGTGTCAGCGAACTGATCTCAGACCGCATGCTGTCGATCTGCTCGCTGCTATTTGTGTCTCCTGCCTGCGAGCCGTCCGGAGTGGTCCCTCCGGTTCTGCGGCCCGCCATCCCTAATGGACTCCCCCGAGGGAATAAACACTAGTGTGTTGGTATGTCCGTACTTGGGAGGAGAAGACACGCTTTAACTCTCTCTGATTAGGCACCCGCGGGAGCGAGGAAAGGAAGGGAAGAAGTGGCCCTCCCGAATTCGGGGAAGGGGGCCCACACATAGTAGCCTTTTTCAGGCATACGCATGCTCCTGTCTACGTACCCCCCCGTGCTGCTAGCAGGTCTACCATGCTCGTATCCAGACACACGAACAGCGAACTCGCGATGTGTTCAATTGTCATGGGCTACTGATCGACCAACTTCCACCAGGTAGGGCCAATCGGTTGGGATCTCTGCGACAACGATAGTAATCCTTTTGGGAGTGACGGAGACGAAGTAAAGAGAAAGGGAAGAATGGAGGACGAAGACGACGATGGAGAAGGAAAACATGAAGGAGTGGAAAGGAGCAAAGGGCTTGAGCCAGAGGGCCTTCCCCAAAAGAAAAAACGTAGGACTAGGGAAGAACTGCCCAGAGATTCTTGTCAAAGTGAGGATCACAAGAATGCTGGTAGCGAAAACAACGAGGATAATGGGGAAATAACTCCTAAACGAACTCGAGTACAAGGTGGTAGTAGCCTTGGTAGACACGTGCAGTTCTCTTTTGTTGCTGCTTTTTTTGAGTTTGATCCGAAGGATAGTTTAGCCTCCCGCATGCTGCCCCCTCGCGGGGTCCCAATTCATGGCAGATAAAAGTGTTTTGTGTTTTCAACCGCACTGAGACTGACGTCTTTTCATTGGTCAGCCGGTTAGCGCGGTCCATGCTCAAGGGCCGTTGTAATCATTCCACATTCATTGTTGTTCCGAACTTCCAAAGTCCCACATTTTTGGAACTTGTACGGAGGCGTTCCTCCAAATTTCTTAAAAAAAATTGGAACGAACCTGGGGCGCCTTCCGCGCTAGAGCGTGCAGCGGTCCAGTTGATGATGTTCCCCGAAGACTCAAGCTCCAAAAAGTGTGTCAGGGTGCTTTGGTGGGATGTAGGCCCAGTTCCGCGGGTTGAATTGAGTACCCGGCGTTGGGATGTTGAGGTTTCAGCGATATGTGGTGTTTTATACTGCATAATGTATAAAAAAAACGGGGATGGGGCTAACACGTCCCCCCCCTTTGGACAAACGGCGATTAAACGTGTTTTAAGGGCCATTTTCAAGCGCGTTTTCTGCGCTAGTTGATGCGAACAACCGCATAGATTGATCACAAGTATACCCTGGACGTTTTATTTCACCGACGTGCTTGAGAATAATGTAGTGCATTACAAACAGTCGACCCCGAAACATATGGTTTTGCTTCGAAAAATGTTTCCTTAACGACGGGAAGTTTCCTTAAACTTCAGGGGATCAAAACGCACCATCCCCGGGGTCAATGGTGGCGGTACATACGTCAAAAGGTGCGCCCTGGGCAGAGCATTGTCGGAATAAAAAAAAGGCTGGGAGTCGGCGAGAAAATAGTTGTTTATTGCTGAACACCACCACACAGCACGGAAAATACCTGATGGACACTTCAAATTCACCTGGTGACTCTTGTTGACCCCTGTGGGAGCGCACGCAGAAACTCTCCTGCGTTACTCTCTACTGGAGCGCCATTCAGTCACAAGCACACAATACGGCGTATGGCCGACAAACCGCAAACACTCAACGCTACGACTTCCTTCACATATCGCGAAGAGTTGCCTGCAGCTCCCCCCCCTCCTTAGACCTGCGCTTGACTTGTGTTTCATGCGTGAACGAATGCACCGTTTTCGAAAGGAGGTGCTGGGTTTCGCGGAATTCGCCAATTTTTCCATTGGCGTACAAGTAGGAGTGAACACTCTCTAAGCTAGCGCGGACCTGAGCCTCTGTCATCGAAGATGTAATACACGAGGCTAGCCTATCCCCGCCATCTTCGTCGTCAGAAGAGGCATCAACCTCCAAGTTTGCCATGTTCTGCTCCACAATCTCCAGTTCCAGAGCTACCTCGCTTCCAACACGCTGGGGTCATCCTCTACGGATAGCCACGTCTTAATTGCGTTTCGCACTTCTACATCAGCGAGGCCCGAGTTCTTCTCGACAAACAAATTGTCCGTCAACACCCCTGGAATTTTTCTGGCGTCGGTGACGTCGACGCTGTCTGGCATCGACAGCTTCGCAACCAAGTCGCAAAGATCGTCGATGAGTCCCCTTTCGCCCGTCTTCCCCCCCTTGTCCCCCACCTCCCCCCCCTTCCCGTTGTCCTTTCCAGCGAGCCGCGTGTCCTTTCTCTTGAGGACGTTCTCGTGCTCCTCGGGAAGGATGGTGGCCTTGAGCCATCATCCACTTCCATGGGAATGCTAGAGCTGCCGGTCTTGCTTCCTGGTGCTGTCTTCTGACATTCCGTGCACTCCCTGTGCTGTCCGTAGCCTTCCTTCCCGATGCCGCGACCACAAAACGCGTGCATCCATCGACCGCACGGGCATGTGTGGATACCCGACGCGAGCTTCGTGATCGTGCACGTGGGTTCCCCACACCGTTTTAACCCGGGTGCAGGGGACGCACCGGTAGGTGAAACGAATCTTTGCATACCGCAGACAGCAGGTGAAGCAGCAGACCTCTCTGCTGGCGACGAGGGTACGCTGAAAACGTGCTTTAAGGGGGGTCCGCGGACTAGAATGTGAAACCCCCCGTCTATGTTCATTCTGCGGGGTATTGTGTTGCGACGAAAATTGTTTCATTTACCCGGGGAGTTTCCTTGAATTTGGTTTCCTTAAAGCGGGGTCGACTGAAGACAGTCCACTTGGGCGACAAACCGTGAAAATATTAGGCACCAACGCCGGCAAATATCGTTTTCTCTGGCTGGAGACCCTTCATTAATACCCCAAACCGCAAGGGAGATGATCTGCTGCTGCACATGAGTACAGCAACATGCAACACACAGCACACAGCAACAAAGAAAAGAGTACAAATACTGCAACAAAATTACCCAAAAAAACATCGAAGAGAAAAATGAGTCAATCTCGAGAACATGACGTGCACCACGGACACCCCTCAATTCCCTACACCACAAGACGTCCGAGTAACCTTGTGCTTTCCCGACACAGCCTTCACCATACCCACCACCCCCGCATACTTCCTGGCCGGGAAGCAGTCGTCGTAAGCTCCAACACTGCACTTCGAGCAGCAGCACGACGCCTGACGAACGCGTAGCTCGTATCGCTTCGTGACAGCCGGAAGCGTCAGAACGATTGATTCGTCCGCCTGCCATCACTGCGGGTTGGCTACAACCTCTTTCTCGCCTGCGAGGGGAACCCCGCTCTCTGTCTGCACCTCTACGCCTACGCCCGAGCTCTCCTCCTGCTGGACCTCCGCTCCCATGAACTGGTACAGCTTGGAACTCCCAGAGATGCCGGTCAAATCTACAATCGGGCGAGGGATCTCTCGGTGTCCAAGAAGCTTGATGTGGAAGCTCTTGATCCGGTAGGGAAACCAGGTTGAAAAGTGGCCTCCTCTATCCTCCTTTGCCTCGGCGTAGGCTTTGAGGAAGTCGGCTGTGGCTTGAGTGTCGTGGATGCGCTGGCCCCTGTTCTCCGCTACTCGCAACAGAGCCTTCAGCAACCCTCCGATGCCATCGTGGGCGCCTTTGAACTGCGACGTGACTGCGAAGTTGTGAATGAGGATAGCACCAAGCCTGTGCAAGCTCTTGGCCACGGCGTGAAAGTTGCGCTTCCCCTTGTACTGTTTGGCGCACCCGTCGGCGAAGATTTTCACCTTCGGGATCGGGGTTCCAGCAGTAGCGGCGCGCCCATCCCCCCTGATGTAGTACTGAAGGATGATGTCCATGGCGTAGATGTGGAAATCGAAGTCATGGTTGGGGTCACTCGACACGAACACCCATGCGCCTGTCTCATGCCGCCCGTCGTCGTCAGGACTGTGGTGAACTAGGGCCACCATCATGGTGGTGGAGGGCGCAGTAGCGCACGTCAAGATAGCGCAAGCCTCGTGCTTGTACGTCCCGATAAAGCCGGTCTCCACCAATAGCTCGCCTTTAGGCGAACGTCGCCAGGCACATGTTGTGGGCTTGGCACTGCCACTTTGCTAGCTCGTAGTGATGCATGTACTGGGGGACGACAAACGAACGGGTGGAAGGGGGGGGGGGAGTGGTGCGTACTCATAGTCGTGCATGCCGTAGTCGTCAGACCGACGTGGGAGGCAGGAAAGAAAGGACAGGTGCAAGCTGCGTGATTGATTGTGTTGATACACGATTGACTATATGCCTCCAGCAGTAAAAGACGCCCAATCCACATGCGGTTTCTAACCGTACCTTCTTCGAGTGCTCCACAAACCCGTCCCACAGGTCACCCAGTTTTCTGGCCTGGGGTAGCTGCTGCTTCTTGTGCACCTTCCCATCCTCCATGACTTGATCCTCGAATCGAAGCTACCCGACAACTCTGTCCGCCATAGACCCCAGGGCATCGCAGTTCATGGGAATGCCGCCTGGGTTGCCAAAGCCGCATTTGGGGCATTCCATCGCAACGCATGCGGGCTTCCTCCCCCAGTGCTCAAACCTACCCCCTCGGTCCTCCGCAAGAAAGTCTATCTTCTCGCAAGCCAAAGCCTCAGAAAAGCTGTGCAGATCTGTACACATGGCCATCCACTTTCCACAACCACTCCCGTCGCACCACTTGTACGTGCACTTACAGTTGGCATGTATTGCAGGCATCAACATCTCGAATGCCTTTAGGTGCAGTCCCTGCTGCGTGTGGATCTGGCAGGCACACTGCGATACCTTCGGTTCCACAGTAAGACACCAGAAGCGAACGGTTGAAACGGACAGAAAGGAGGACAACAGGTCAGCAAAGAGGCCGCCCCCCTGGGACGGTGACACAGCTAAAGAATCCATTACGCTACAACAATATTGACGCTGCTATCGAAGTGAAAAAAGAACGGAGCAGCTCCCCCCTCGCCCACCCACCTAAACACCCACACTGCGTCGAGAGGAACACCGTCCGCCCAGGGTCCGTGAAGCTGCTGTCTTCCCTCAGCAGCTCCGCCTGAAGCCCCAGGTACTCCGGCCACTTCAGAAACTTGCGCCATACTTGATCCCCCGCGATCATGAGCTGCCTACGGGGGTGATATTCCTCACCTGCCTTCTTCGACGGCCTCCACATGGCTTTCGTCCCTACAGGGGGTGTACGAAAAAAACGGCCGTGTGCAGTGTTGACTAAAAACTCATGTCCATTTGACACGGCAAACGGAGCATCCCCGGACTTCAACAACACGTTTTGACAGCGCTTACCTGAGTCTCCCGACGCACATTAAATGTCGTCAGAGTGCCAGAACCTCCTCGCCAAACCCATGACACGTTCGTCCATCTTGTCGCTCCTTTCTTTGCGCAGAGCCCAGAGGTATCTCCCCTGCTCCAAAGCGTCTTTTGGAGGTATGGTGTGGTCAGTCTTGTGCATCCGGATACGCGCCGCGCGGAACGTTGCATCTGTCACACCGAGACCCTGTGCTCGCGCGGCAAGGCTCACGGCACCCTGCGGCTCAGCAGGAGTGCAAGGCTCAGCCGAGGTGCAAGGGTCATCAGGATCGCACGTGTGCTCTGCTCCAGCGGCGGCAGCAACCACAGTGTTGTAGGGAGCGCGGCCGATGTTGGTGTGTGAGTGTAGCTTCAGCGTGTCTATGGAGGCGTCAAGCGCGCGGATGTTCTCCGCATCGACAGCAGCCTTCGTCGCCGCTCCCTCTCCAAGTTCTTCGACACACAGTAACTCCCTCAGCTCCTCCTTCAACACATCATCTTCAAACACGGTCTGCTTCACACCTTCGCGGTGCCGGTCGATAGCCTGTTGGTCGATGATAGCAAAAGTTGGAGCGGTTTGACGAGAGAGAGGAGAAATGAGGGGACTCAATATTTGTGTTGAGATAGAGAGCAGGGGAAATATACCCGCGGGCATTCAGTAGTCTAGACAACGGAAATTGTAAAATACAAGATATCACCCTATCTCTTGCAGACGCTACGCTGCTCTGAACTCACCGTTTGCCGCCGTCATGGAGGAGTCGTCGTGGGTTGTGTACTTCTGTTCAGTCCGCTGAAAAGATGCGCTTCGAGCGGATCGGAGCGAGTGAGACGTGCATCGGATCCTAACTTTGGACCTCTTGCGGCAGCGGCTGCAGCGACCTCAGTAACAACCGCAGATCTGGTGGTGGGTCTTTCCGGCTGCTTCCTTTGACGCTTCGTAGCCCGTTCCCGGAAGCCATAAGCATGCTCTAGGGCCTTCGGTGAAACGCCGTTGAGGTCATCCGCCACACTGCCTACTGCTTTGCCAACCGCAGCCTCAGTGCCCTTCTTTCTTCAGCAGCGTGGAGGTCAAGTGGAACCCCTTGGGGTGTGCGCGCCATGTGTGCTTGACGACCCTCTGTTGTCCGGAAATTTTGATCTCACGCCTCAACATTTTGGCAGTAGCCGCCACCGTCTAGGCCACGGGATGGCAATGAACTGAAACTCGGCTGGTTTGGGTCGAGAGACCCGGCAATGAGTTCCTCTGTATGTAATTCGACCATGCGGAGTCGATTGCCGCTGTGCAACGTCGCTCCGAGATCATCTTCCCTGTGATTTTGATCCCGCCGCATTTGACTTAGTCCTAAAGTAGCACAAGAAATATATTTTTTTGTTGCATGCGAGAAATGGGTTCTCTGACCACGTTAGGACCTAGAACCACTTCTTTTTTTTCCTACCGACGGAAGCTCGCCGAGTTACGGAGTTATACCTCCCCTCGGCCTGCCCCCCGGCCGGGGCCGAAATCGACCTTGTGAGTCCCTCGCGGGCGAACCAGGCACAACCGCGGGCACCGCGGGGAGGAAGTGCTGCACCCTCCTCGTCAAAACACAAAGGCAAGAACCGAGCTCTGCAGAGATAGTTTGATGCGAGGAACTCGCCGCTCGGAAAATACGGAAGGAAGCACACCCGCAACGCGAGGTGGACCGAGAGAGACACGAGACCGCAGCGGCCGTCAAGGCGGCTGCGAAGAAGAAGGCACGAGAGGGCGACCTATCGTTCGGCACGTTCAACGTGCGCACGCTCGCCTACAGCGGTAGGAACCCCATCGGTCACAAAGTGATGACGGTCATGCAGATTTGTTCGGCGACCGGCTGTGATGTGACAGGACTTCAGGAGACCCGACGAGAGGGGCAAGGTTCAATTGCACACGACGGGTATGTGATCATCTGGAGTGGCGCCCGTGCTGGCACCAAGGACAAGAGGGGCGTACACGGTGTGGGCATAGCGATCAAGGAGGCCATGTGGGAGAGTGTGGGCGAGGAAGGTAGGACGGTGGAGTGCATTAGCCCGAGGCTGATGAAGGTGCGCCTGCAAATTGGCCGCACCTGCGGAGTAACATTCGTGATGGGGTACGCCCCCACGGAAACTGTCCGCACCACCGCGGGCGGTGATGTTAACGCCAAGGACTCCTTCTGGACTGCTCTCGACGCAGCGATCCGGGAGGTTCACAGCCGTGACCATCTCGTGGTGCTAATGGACGCCAACGCACGTACTGGTAGGAGGCGAGACGGGTGCTGCGATGCCAAGATTATGGGCGCGTACGGACGCGACATTATGAACAACAACGGGGAACGACTCCTTGGACTGGCATCAGACAACCAACTCTCCCTGACCAACACCTACTTCCGGACACCGAAAGGTGGAGCGCAGCACACATTCCAGAGCTCCAACACGGGGAAGGAAAAGTACCGCCTCGACTTCATCCTCATGCGCCAGACGGACCGGCGTTTCGTGCGTGATGTCTCCGTCAAACGTGTCGACTTCAAGGACTCTGACCACAACCTCGTGCTTACGACTGTCCGCCTCCCCCCCCGTGTCGCACCCAACCGACGAGTGCGGGGGAACAGCGGAAGCAGCCGGATCCGTATCGACCTCGAGCGGTTGAGGAAGGACAAACACCTACGGGTCGCCTTCCAAAACAGGGCCTCCAGCCGCCCTCCGCCCACGGCGCTCAGGCGGCCAACGGGAGAGACCGCCGCCGAGCTGACGGCTACGGTGATGTCGGCCGCTGCTGAGACCGCGCCGCTGGCGAGGTGCGCACGAGGGCAGAGAGGCTGGTACACGAGCGAAGCGCAGCACGAGATCTCTGACGCGTCGAAGGAGATTAAGGCGGCCCAGCAGCAACTGCGCGGGGCCTCAAAGAACAGCGCCTGCGAGGCGACCCTGAAGGCGATGCTCAAGGCGGCGCGGAAGAAGCGCAGCATCGCGAGGTGGAGAGCACTGGAAAAGTTCTTCGAGGGCTATGTACGGCAGCTCGAGAAGAAGAGCCGCGAGGGGGATCAGGCGGGTTTCTACAGGCACCTGAAGATGATCGACGTCGAAGGTAAGAGGTCGTTCACCTCTCAGAACATCAAGGACGAGGACGGCAAGGTCCTTCGGGACCCTCGTTTATTCGCCAACGGTGGGCACGGTGCTTTTCAACACCAAGTCGCCGACCATCGACCTACATGAGGCTGACAAGGTCAAGCGGTGGCCCACGTGCGTGCCACTCGACGACATCCCATCTCTACTTGAGGTTGAGGAAGCGGCGCGGGAAATGGCCAACAGAAAGGCCGTCGGGCCGGACGACCTACCGGCTGAGCTGATCAAGCTTTTCCTGTACGGAGATCAAGGTCTCCTCCGCGAATTCCACGCCATTGTCGTGGACGTGTGGCAGACGGGGGGAGTACCACAGCAGTGGAAGGATGCCACCATCAAAGTGCTNGCGGCTCCATGAGCTCGCGAGGAAGAAGAGTACTGCGGTGTTCACGTGCTTCGTGGACCTTACCAAGGCATACGATTCGGTGGACCGAGACCTACTGTAGGACTTGCTCCGACGCTTCGGCGTGCCCCCGAAGATGCTGGCGGTCATTGGCCACTTCCACGAGGGCATGAGGGTGCGCGTCCGAACGGACGACGGGCAGTACTCGGAATGGTTCGACGTGGGCCAAGGCCTCCG